CAAAATGGGTTTTAACAAAAAAAATGAACTAGTCAGTTCACTAGGTCACCAATTGTTTCAGGTTTACGAAATCATATTAGTTTTATCCAAATTAACTTCACAAATGAGTTATGTTATCACATGAACCAAATTTATAACCGAGCATAGTTGAACCAATTCAACTACCCAAGCCTAGCCAAGTTTAAAAACACTATTTTAAATTGCACAATGCAAGCCAACTCTCACTTATCACTTAACCTACCCTAGTCACATGTCGTTCAATTTAATTCAAATTCTCTTATTTCTACTAGAAGAAAATTATCATTGAGCTATTTAAACTATTAGCAATGAGCGCAATTTTAATTACTTTTGGTATCCCTAACATAAGGGATATGGTATGATAGAATTACTTATATTATTAATTACTAATATAAAATTCAATCATTAATCATATATACTAAAAAAAACCATAAAAGCTTAACACTTTAATCACTAGGTCATACGATCATATTTTTAAGACAACACAGTTCTATTCTTTTTTATACAATCTACTTCAATTACTTTGTTTTCTCATATTTTCCCTTTGGATTCAATTATGATTGTGTCTTTGAGTTTTTTGTTTTACAATATGAACTATTTTGGATTACAATATAGAGATTTTTGAATGGAGAAAAGCCCCAGAAGAGAACCCACCTCTCATACTAAAGTTTCTATTTTTGCAATTTAAAACAGTCTAAATTGCAAAAAAGTTTTTATTTCTTTCCATTTCTTTATTCCAATTTCTACCGCTCATTCTATTCCAATTTATGCATTTCAGAAAAGAAAATTTCTAATCTACCTAACAAATTTCCTTTCTTTTTTTATTTTTTATTGTGGTAAGAATTTGACTTTAAACTTGTAAATTAAAAGTACATATACATTTACCATACCACAATGTGATTTTTTTTTCCTTTTTTCCTTTTTTTTTACATTTTTGTTTTTTTAGAAAATAATTCAAAAATAATCTTTTATATTGCCTTTTTATATAAACTTATATATTATTTAAATAATTAATTAATTTATTTAAAACTTATAATATTCAATTATTTAATAATATATAAAAATTTAATAAAAAATTATTTTTCTGTCACATTTTCTTTTGAGAAATACTATTGGGTAACTATTTTATCATACTTTTTTATATAACCTGATGTGTCATTAAAATGATTAATTTTTTAAATTTATGTGAGATTCATAATATTAAATATATTCACTTGTTTAATAACAAATAAAAATTATAAAATAAAATAAAAAAATTATCCCAATTAACACTTTTTTTTTTCACGGGTGCGTGATTTTCTGGCCATTTGATGTGGACAAAATAATTAATTGGGTCCATCTCTCATTTAGCGCTGACGTGGTCAAAAGAAGAGCCCCAAACGGTTAACCCCTTGACGGCGTAACTTCCAAACCCTAACTGTATCATCAAAGTACGATGAAGCTGAGCACGGCAGGCGGTCCGAAGACTCTGAACTCAGAACTCCATAACTAGAAAAATAAAAAATAAAATATCCAGTGAAACTGATAATGTTGGCCAGTGGCGGCTCCCTTTTTGCTCATCAAAATCTAGGGTTAGGGTTTTGCCCTTCCAGAATTGTGAAGCTCTCCTATTTCATGCTAAAGCCTCCCTCTGTTGCAATTGCTGACGGTCACAATCACAGACTGCAACACCGGTTGGTTTCTTCCTCCACTCCCCAGTCGAGATTCCCTGGTGACATTTCCATGCTCCCTGATTCTTTCAGGTTCATTTTCCTTTTTATTCTTTCAATTTTTCTTCTCCTCTTGGATTTTAGTCGAATTTACCTTCTGTTTATTTGGTTACTAAGGAAATGTTGCTGTAGGTAAGTGCAATTGAATTTTACTTGAGAACATGGGTGCATTGGGTTAAGTAAAAGGGAAGATAGAATTTGAAGTTCAATTGGGTTTAGCCTTGGCTTGGTTGCGGAGAAAATGGAGGAAAGCCAAGAGGAAACTTAGAATTTTATACTATGTATTTATTCTAGATTCGTACATATGTGTCAATATATGTTTGTACTGTATACTTATCCATTTAGGGATGTCATGAGTTGAGATGATTTTGTTTTCCTCATAATTTCCAAGGTTGGCTCGAAAAAGCAATTTGTTTCCAAGTATATTCCATGCATACATTTATGTATGTATCTATGTACTGTTGATGATTTTAGCTCTGTCATGAATTCTGACGTATAGTTATTAGGTAAAGAAGATGTGAAATGAATATTTTTGCTTTAAACGATTAACCATATGTTGAACAGGGTCTAAATATTAATTTTTTTTGATACATTAGTTCAATAAGCAATCAAAATAGGATAAGTTTAATTACTTTCTTCTGGGTTATGTAGATGGTAAGATACAATAATATGTAATTAAACTAATGCTATTTCATGATCTCAAAATCTGGCCTTAAGAATGCCTGGAAAAATGGTCATATACCTGACACATTGATACCAAGACATTGTCAACTTCGTGATACTGATTTGCTCCCCTCTTGATCGATATATTCAGTTATGTCTATTCATGTTTGCTCGTCCATAGCAGCTCAATTCTTATTCAAGAATCTAATTTACTTTTATTAATTTTTTCTTTTGCAAAGCCAACAGGAAGATGATCATGAGCGCCCTCCTGATGGATTGTCTCCAGTGGCAGGTTTCTTTTTGTATTGCTTCCCTTTATTTTCTATTTTCCATGGACATACTGAATGCATATCTTTTTCCAACCATTTCATTCTATTCTGTTTCATTAAATTTTATAAGCAATGGAATTATCATAAAAATATAATGATAATTCTGAATCACGGAGTTTTTAACTCTGGCTTTGCCTTTTAGGTTATAAACATAACAGTAGTATGCTTGGTGAGTTCTTATTGGTCTAGAGTAGAAAATATGATCTAATAACTTGAGGATCAGGAGTTCCTCATCATTTTAACATTGTTATCAGTGGTCAAGCACATGGGACCTTTTGTGGAAGCCTTTCCTGTTTTCGTTTCTATTACTTTGATTTTGACATAATCTTGCTGGAAAGAGAAAAGGAAAAAGAGAGAGAGAGAGAGAGAGAGAGAGAGAGAGAGAGGGAGAGATTTGAAGAGAATTTTGATTCTAGTTTCTTACATTTGAAGAACAAAATGTAACAAAGAATAAGAAGAATAACAACATAGGAACTCCTAGGTAATAACAAAGAATGTCAACTCAGAGAAACAGTTCACTGTTGGGATGTGCAAGATGTGTGCATCTTTGCATCTAATGCTTTTAGGCATGTTGTTGGTAAATTTATATAAATTGAAAACATGTCATGATATTTACGTCTTGCTCTATAGGCCTCATGATATATCAATATAAAAATAGTTGTGCTCTTTAACATTCATAAGTTGCACATTTTGTTTTTCTTCTTCTTCTTTCATTTCTTATCTATTCTTATTTCCCTTTAAGTATATGGTTTTTATTTTGAATTTCTCTTCCTCACCCCAGCTCATTGCTTTGCAAATATTATTTTTACATCATCTTATGAAATATCTGTGCGATAGGTTCTGAAACTTTTCTTTTATATTCCTTTTTCTTCACGTTCCTTGATTAGTATTTTTAATTATGAAAAAAAGAGATGTGGCACTAAGATGGCCTTGAGTTGGATAATCTTTTGAACTGTCAAATTCTGAGCACTGTATGTTGCTTCTAATGCTGCACCTTCTTTACTGAATACTAATTAGTTAACTGCTCCCCTTTCATTTAGTTTTCTCTAATATGTTAGATATCTTTTTACTTCAGCCTCTTTGGTGTATTTTTGGATTGTTGAAATTCACTATAAGCTCTGATTTATTGGGCATCATTCAGGAGGGATAGTTGCACTGGGAAAGTTTGATGCTCTTCACATTGGTCATCGTGAACTTGCAATTCAAGCTTCAAAGATTGGAACTCCATATCTTTTGTCATTTGTTGGAATGGCTGAGTTTTTTGGTTGGGAGCCTAGGTATTTATTTCTTTTTATTGCTTTTGGAAGTTAGTTTGCTTCAAATTGCAATAAAGCTTTGGTTGCTTTTCCTTGCAGTTTGGTTTCTGTTTACTAGTAGAGTTTTTATTTACTCTTGCTGATTTTAAGCTTTTAATCTCAGTATTCTTTTAAATCCACTTACAGCTAATCTTTGGCCATTGGCTGTATTTACTTTGATAAAATTAATTATAGTTAGGATATGGTTTAGCCTTTTACTTTTAGTCAATCCACTTTTATGTAGGCAAGACACAACTGCAATGTTATATTTTATTTGGTTTAATTGAAAGAAATATTCCAGAAGCATCATAACTGAATTGTTGGGGTTTTTCTTCCTATGGTTTGTAAATTTAGTTGCTGATTTTGCAACAACTTGTGGCATGCGCAAATGCTCCAACTTGGTCACTCTTGTTCTTTTTCCTCTTCTTCTTCTTATATTTTATTTGGTGGAATTGAAAGAAGGGTTTTCCTATCATGTGGCCTAAGGGCACATGTTAAGGGTGCAATTAATGCACCTTTTAGTCATTAAGTCATATAGAAAAACACCAAAGTTGACATTAATTTTTGTACCAATCCAGGTGTATGTTTTTAATAGGTCAATTGATAAAATTAAAGTCAAACTTTATTTTTTCTATGTAACTTAATGATAAAAAGGCATATTAATTACACCCTTAACTTTTGCCTTAAGGGCACAGGTTTGGAAAACCCTTGAAAGAAATATTCCAGAAGCATCATAACTGAATTGTAGAGGTTTTTCTTCCTAAGTTTTGTAAATTTAGTTGTTGATTTTGCCACTGCTTGTGGCATGCCTTATCCATTAGTTTTCAACCTCAATCCTATAATAAGTGTTCTGTCTAGTGTAGATAACAAAAGGTTCCAATAAATTCCACATATGGTACTGTTATTTAGTGCACTTGTTTAATTTCTTTATCAATTACTTTTCTTTGTGGATAACATGGGTATCGAGAACTTTTGGCCAGACAAGTTCTATGGCATCTGCAAAGGCATCACACAAAGCTCCACCCAAGGGTGGCCAGCATGGCCTGCTGATTTTCTTTTACTGAAATGGTGATATATGGATTTGATTTAAATATGTAATTTACTGAAATGCCTTTTTGTCACAATAATATTAGGAGGATAATTTGATCAGGGAATCTCTCTTGCAAGTCCTCACAGAAAGGTTGGCCAAAAAAAAAAAAAAGAGTCCTTGGAGGAAGTCTTGTTTTCTCATTGTTGAAGGATTAACACTTGTTTAGAGAAGACATGAATGTCTGTTCATAACTTCATATTGTTTTTGAATTTATTGGTGCTATTTCTCAGCAAATTCTATTTCCTTTATCATATTCTTGATAAGAATGTATTTCAAGGTTAGAATTACTGCATTTATACAGACAGAATTTTCATATATCCATTTGTCAAGACTTTTTTTTATCTGATATACTATAAGAATATAACATTTCTTTTCATAAAATATGTTTCCTGAATAGGGCTCCAATTGTAGCCAATTGTGACCGGAAGCGAGTTCTTTCCTCTTGGGCCTCTTACTGTGGTAATGTAACACCCAGGGAATTCCAGGTGGAGTTCTCAAGTGTTCGTCATCTTACACCTCACCAATTTGTCGAGAAGTTATCAAAGGAGTATAGAGTTTGTGGAGTTGTTGCAGGTAAAATCAAATAATGTGTTTATAATTTTCCCTTTTCAAAACACTTACCTTCTTTGTGTTTTCAACTGTGGCAGGTGAAAATTATCGGTTTGGATATAAAGCTGCTGGTGATGCATCAGAGCTTCAGAGGCTCTGCGATGAGTACGGTTTAGGTACCTTCATAATTAATTCTGTCATGGACAAGAAACAGGATGTGAGACACATAAACTCCTCTAATTTAAAAGAGAGAGGACAAGTTTCATCTACCCGTGTGAGACATGCTCTAGCTGTAGGTGATATGCAATATGTGTCAGAGCTTCTAGGTCGCAGACATCGTCTTTTTCTGGTGGTGAAAGACTGGAAAGAGTTAATTAGTGCTGGCAGTAAATATAGGATTTCAGCTCCAAAATCGTGTTTACTAAATCTACCACCAAAGGAGGGTTTTTATGAGAGCTGTTCTCTTTTCTTTGGTGATGAAGAGAATCCAGTAACATGTAGAGTATTTATTGATACAACACAGATCCATCTAGAGTTGGATCAGAACGATCTTTGTGATTATCATAATTCTCAAGACTTTCAGCTCTTAGGTATTGAGTTTGGTGACTTGACATTTGATTCTGTTTAATTTATCTGTCGCTATTTTGTGTGCTTTCCTAAGATGGTATTCATGGTTGAGAAGGTTCATCCAGGTTATAAAGAAAAGAAGGTATATGTTCTCCATATAATAGGGGCCTGTATTTGTTTATGGATAACATTTGTATCTTATACATCAATTTTCAATATAGAATGCCAGTCCTCTTCCATTATATAAGGAATGAACTTCCTTTTTGTTCTGAGAACTGGTATTATTTGAAACAATGTATCTCATAGCTGAGTTGAAAACTTTGCTGAATCTGGAGGGTTTTTGGAAAAGGCTTTTCTCATTTGATGTTCCCATCCCCGATAGATGAGTTTCTGTTAGGCTGTAATTCTTATATTTGTTTGTTCTTGATTCTCAATCACGTTGCTTGTGATTTTTTCCAACATTGGTATATGATAAAATAATTGCAATGGAGCATGGAGCAAAAAGCAAGCGATTGAATGTTAAGTTTGCAGCTAATGCTAATTAAAATAGATTGATGTCTTGTAATTTTTGACAAATAGTCTATCCTAATCTTGAAATATAAGCACAAGATATTTGTCTGTGGTAGTTCCTTTGTCCAGTTTTACTTGGGAGAGAAGTATGCGCTAGTGGCTGTTTCTGATTTAATGTAGTAGCTAATATACTAGAATTGGGGATTTGAGTTGTATGCTAGGTCATTGGATATGGTAGTACTAACTCATGATATTGTAACATAGACTGGTTATTTTTGAATATTTTTGCTTCAGTAGGTACTCTTCATTAGATGCCACCTGGTATTCTGATTTTATTTTCTCTGATGATAAATTTCTTCTTCTTCCTATTCTATTGCTAATGTAAAACGGTTGGTGACATCATGAAATCTGGTAGGTGATGAATGGTGTTGTAAGACTATTGAAGGGTAAACAAATCAAATAACCTCATGGCAATGAATTAATATTTGACATACTTGTATCTAGTGCAACATTTGTCAAGCTTGTATTCTATCTGAGCTCTCTCTGCTGCAAACACTGAATATATGAATACCTTGCTTTGGCAATTGGTAGGTTTTTTTTATCATTCCTTGATTTAATATTTTTCAATCAGTAACCTTTTCTCAAAGTGAATATTTTTAAATATTCCTTAAACCATAGCTTTGGTTCTTAACTATTGTTCTATTCTCTTGTTGCTGAAGGAAATTGAGTTTCTACCTACAGGAAGGATATTCTGGATTCAGATGCCTTGCCTGGATGAAAGGTCTCATCTTGCAACTACGCTGGGCACTACTCCATTTTCTTCAAAATCCACATCAATGTCAATTTCTGCGTATCAGGTACAACAATATATACAGTCACCTGAGACGACAAGTCACTTTTTTTTTTTTTTTCTTTCTCTTTTTGGTATAAGCTTCAAGTAACATTTTATAACATTTTAGAACTGAAACATGCCAGTCCACGCCTAGTAACTGCAAAGAAAGGAATTACGCTGCTATATTGATTTGGTTTGCCAAAAGAAAATTAAAGAGTGGGTGATCTGGAGTTGGTGTGCTAAATGAACTTCAATATTACATAAATATAACATCATAGATTTAACTAATGATGTTAAAATTAAATATATACTATATAGCCTTACGAAGCATGCATGACTGTAACATGCTTTAGACTATTTGTTTAACATGTTTGATTTATTCAATCTACTGATTTTAATAAATAGATCTAATTCTCATATCAGCTTAGATTTTCAGTGAAGTTCAACGGTTTAGTTGGACCTTTTTTGCTAGTGTTGTTTGAATAGAGTTTTATAAAATTAATTAATATAAAATAAAATTTTCCAAAACCATGATTAGCAATTCTAAGAGTAAATAAATTTCATCAAAACTCAAAAATCTTTAAAAAAAACATAGCAGGGTAAAAAATGTGTGGCTTAGTTTCAACTATTGTGGTGGAATATCTACTTCAAAAATTAGATCAAATAGACAATAACTAGCTCTTGTCTTAGGACTATGAGTTCTGTAACAATAAGAGTTTAGTTTAATTGATATCTAATTAACTACTACAAACTTTCTGGGTAGAAGTTAATGATTTAAATCTTTACAATAAGATTTTTCTATAAAAAAAAAAAAAACATTAATTTGGTAATGTCTTTAGGACTCTCTTAGAGTCTATTTATTAGCTTAATTATAAAATATATGGAAACTTCGTTTGAATAGTTCTTATACAGAATTGTTTTATTTTGAATTAATATAAAATAATTATAAAATTTTAAATTTTTGATTAAAAAGTTATTAAATTCAGGTAATTAACGACAGAATATATACTCCAAAAGCAACATGTTTATAGCTTCAACAGTTCAACTCCTAGGCATTTATATGTTGAGACTTGAGAACACCTTTATAGAAATATTAGAAGAGCCTTTCAGAAAACTTTGTTTGGCTTAATTTTAATTTTTACAATAAAGTTTTTCCAAAAGTTGGATCGAACAGATATGTTTTATTCAGCACTTATATACCATATTAATTTGGTTTAGTGCATGCAATAATAATGTCAAAATGTCACCTGACAACCATTCTTTACAAACCTTTGTTAAAATGGTGTTAAAAAATGAAGCTCGTCAAATTAGTTGCTTTTAGAGTAGTTCCTTTCATGTTAAATTTCTAAATTTGATACTAATTCTTATCTATTTCTAAAATCTTATATTTTTTTTATATGAATTAATTAATGATCATATATTATGGCCAAAAAAAATTAATGATTCTATACCACCAACACAAAACTTCAATAAAATACTATAACTTCTTTAAAAAGTATACCTAGCCCAAACAGGCTATAAAACTCCTTATCTAACAGTTGTTAACAATGTTAAGAACTAGGTTGAGGCTTCGTTTTGAGTTAAATTCAATAAATAATTTATTAATTATATAATTTATTTTAGTTTAGTATAAAAATAATTTTTTTAAAAATAATCTATAAATTATCAATTTTGTTTTAAAATGGTCTACTTGACAAACATTCTGTTAACTGATTAACAGAATTATTTTTAATTGTTGACAAGCTGCTCTTTAAGCTTTTGAAAAATATTAAATATAGTACATATATTTTTATTTTTACAACACTTTGTTTTGAAGTTCAAATTTTTTTGTCAAATATAATAATTAACCAAAATGAAATTTCAACTTACATTCATTAAGATTCTAATTTTAATTTACAATAATCAATATTATAATTGAAAATTTATAATTTCTAAAAAAATTTAATTTATTATTAAATATTAATAT